GGAAAACCGGCCCAAATGGAACAATATGGCGATTACAAGTTACCTGCGTCCCATTGACGCTTCCGGTGACGACACAACGACCTGCGTCCTACCTACCATTCGCAAAGGACGCCGGGAACCAGCGAAGTTTTGAGGTAGTCCAAAACGAGTTTTACGACAAGTCGGCGCTTTGCGACAATATGAGTCGGCAAGTTCCGGACAGAAAACCGATCTGTGGAGACTCGTTGTAGGAGATTTTTTTTTTTTTTTTTTTGAGAACAGGCGAAAACTAATGCGCGCGCGGATGTCATCCATAAAATTAAATCGGTGTAGCCTTATGAGGTTTTCACGATAATTACGTAATGCACGAAGGTACGGCAATCGTATCGACAGCCCTAATAAGCAAGGCAGTGGCGGCGTCACAATGGGCGGGGGGGGGGGGTCTTGTAGAGGGGGCGGACCCCTAGTAATAATTGGCCATGGCGTCATTTTGGTGTTTACTCGAAAAAGGGAAAGTTCGAATGAGTGCAGATACTGTTTACGGATGTTGAGACACCATGACGTTATTCACTCGATGTCTACGATAAGATTAGCCGCAATCGCGCCAACCAATCAACATCGACGTTACAACCAATGTTCACGACTGTCTAACCACTCTTTTCCGACTTTCCAACCAACGTTTTCAATGAATGACTTTCCAACTAACTTTGTTGTTCTGTCAATCAACATACGCGACTTTCCAACCAACCTTTTCCCGCTTTCCTTTCCGTTTTCTGCAACCAAAGATCGTTTTCCAAACTAACCTTGTTACCTTGCCAACCATTTTTGCGACATTCTAACCAATCTGTCCTCTGTCAACCAACATTTCCAACCACATTTTTCGACTTTACAGCTAATTTTGCAACAATGTCACGTCATGCAGATCAAATTTTTCGCCTTGCCAAATAGCTTTTGCAACTTTTCCAACTAACTTTTTCGACATCTACAACTTTGTTTTTGCGCTGTCAACACACTTTCGCGACAATCCAACAAAAGTTTACTGACTGT